TGCTTTCAGCGGCTCCTGGGGCGACCGGCTGCCGAAGTAGATCTGGTTGGGGGGGCGCAGGCCCAGGATACAGGAATACACCTTATTTCTAGCCTGCAGGGACAAAACAAGGCACCTGAAGCACCTGGAGGAGGACAGGTCCGGCCCCCAACCGGGCAACCCTCCAGCTCTTGGCCAAGAGGAATCAGGCTCAATTTCCATTTTACAGACTGGGAAACTGAGGCACGGCGGGGGGCGCCCCCGGCGGGCACAGGGACGTGAGCCATTCCCGACTTCACGAGGCCGCGCAGGGTCGCGGGCCCAGGTCTGGGAAAGCAGCAGGGCGCGGGGCGAACCTGCTTCTTGAAGTTGACGAAGTAGTTGGCCTGGTCGATGAAGAAGAACTCCAGTGCCGAGCGGCGGAGGTTGTAGCGGCGGGGGGGCACTTCCCGCAGCTGGGACAGGGGCCGCTTGAAGTCTGAGCCATTCCCGACTTCACGAGGCCGCGCAGGGTCGCGGGCCCAGGTCTGGGAAAGCAGCAGGGCGCGGGGCGAACCTGCTTCTTGAAGTTGACGAAGTAGTTGGCCTGGTCGATGAAGAAGAACTCCAGTGCCGAGCGGCGGAGGTTGTAGCGGCGGGGGGGCACTTCCCGCAGCTGGGACAGGGGCCGCTTGAAGTCGTAGCCGATGCCTGGGGGAAGGCGAGAAGGCAGGCCTGCTGGTACTCCCCCTCCAGGACAGCCCCCAGCCCCGCAGGGCCTGATCCTAGACACCCACCCGCCTCAGCCAGCCACCGTCACAGCGGGCAGACCCAGAGCAGGACTCCGGGGAGCGTCCGGGCCTCGCCGGCTCCCCTCTAGGTCTGAGCCCAAGCCTGCCTCGAGGTTCAGGCACTGGACTGGGAGTCCGGAGATCTGGGCTCGATTCCCAGCTGTGCCACAGATTCTCCGCATGACCTGGGGCAAGTCACTTAACCTCCGCATCTCACTTCCTCGTCTCCCGCCTGAGTCACCTTCCGCCCCCGAGGCCGTGAGCTCTTCAAGGCTGGGATTGTCTCTTCAATAGCTGCTACTCTCCTGCAGGGCTAGCAAGGAGATTAGCGTACTCCGAAGAGCAGGGGGATCAGAGGCTGCAAGATGGGGCAGGAGAGGTGCGGGCAGGCAGATCGGAGGGTGCGAGACAGGGCGGGAGAGATGCAGGTGGGGGGATCAGAGGGATCAAGAGAGATGCGGGCAGGGGGCATCGGAAGGGGGGGGGTGGGGGGGGGGAGGGGCGGGGGGGGGGGGGGGGGGGGGGGGGAGGAGGCAGGAGCTGGTATGCATGGGGAACCAGCTCTTAATCGGTTCCTTGTGTGTCCAGCTCTTGCTGTCTGCCCCTCTCCTACCCCCGCCCCTCATACAGTGGCAGCACCACAGCAGGGGTGGGGAGGGGAGGGGAGGAGACAGGAGGCAGAAGACAGGGAGTGTGGGAAGCTGGCTGAAAAGCCGGCTCCTCACATGCAGTGGCTCCCAGGGAGCTGGTAGTCCCG